ATAAAAGAAAGATGCTACTGTAAGATTTACAAACATCACTAGAAACTATTTTAGATGTGTGCCTTTTATTATTTAGCTATGGTGATGTCACACTCCATGACACTCGACTGGATCAACATCAACTCTGCATAAACTGGCGTGAAAGCCCCTCGGCCATTAAACGCTTCTCACGCTTGGACGGACTAATATCTTCCTGTTTATCAACAAACCTCTTGGAACGTCATCAGATCCTTGCAGTGTCGAGTACTTGTATTCTGTAGCATACATCTTGTATTGAACTAGCGAGACCAAATAACAACTACAACTTGCTACTAGCTTCAGTTTTATATAAGTAAGCCTGGTAATCTAGAATATTCTGTATGATTACAAAGGATTCTAATATTCATAAACCAGTCAGGAATGACTGAGGGGCACCCAACGAGGATATAGTTCAAAACCACTTAAACATAGCACTGTTAAACGTATTTTAGTATTAAAACGGTAGATATAGGCATATTTTTACCCCCTAAAAATTTTTCATCTGTTCGGATTTCCTAGCTGAAAGTCTAGTGATTCGAAAATAACAGGGATCAAAACTTACCTATTCAAAAATTTCAGCCACGAAAAAGGCTCCCGAAAATTATAGGTGACCTTTTTAGGGTATAAATCCGTCAAAAATGGGCAATTATACCATTTTTTAGATGTTCGAAAATCCTAGGAGAGGGAGACAAGCAAGAAATTTTGGAAAAAATGTTCCGAAAATTCTAGATCTCAAATCGTCTTCCGAACAGATATGTTCCGAAAATTGTCGTTGGGTGCCCCTGATGACTCGACTAAGCACGATACAGCACGCTCTAGAACATTCCTGAATATTACAAAACAATCCTAAAAGTTTTTTTAAAATCAAATCCTGGGAATTTTAGCTGGTCGAATACGGCCGGAATCCTGAGCATTGGTATCTGGAATTCAGCCCTAGGAATCCGAAATCCCGCTAACGTTTAGACTTACGAAATGTGAAGTTGACTTTGCAATCACTTGTATCAGCCTTACTTAAGGCATGATGTACCTTTAATCGAACAAACCGAGCAAAAATTTAAATCAAAATCAATCGAACTCGTCGTTCCATTGAATTCGATCAGTCGGCAATGGAACACGGAATTCCTTGTGTCGAGTTCGATAATCGATCAAATGCAACATAATCTGCCAACTAAACCGTTCGAGTTTGTTCCATAACCCAACAAATTGTTGACTTTAACCCAAATCCTAGCCTCGAGAAAGACTGATATGTGTAGTGAATAAAAAGCCATCAATTGAAAGGGGTCTTTCAGCCGGTAATTAGCCGGTCTTGGCCACCAGAGCAACTGCCATTCTCCTATTTTTCTTAAATCGGACAGTTTGCTTATTTGTAAAGGAAATTATAATCAAGCCAGTACTGAAAATAGCCAAACTTATCAGTCTTAATTGAACAGTTCCAAAGTTGTTTAAAACTTAAGGGATAATAGCTTTGCTGAAAATATCTGCCGACTAGCTACCAGCTATATAATTATAACAAATTTATCCATTCAACGGTATTGATGTATTTACTACACGAGGAAATTGACAACACTGACTGGGGTAATATAAAATATTGCTAACAATGCAAGAGGATCTCAAAGGGGTAGTAGCTTTGACGCTTAACGGTCAATTTTTCCAACTTTGAAGGTACAGTTTTTAGAGCTTTTGACGGTTGAAGGCCGTTATTAAGTGGGAATTTATTACAAGAGTTTTTGAAATTATTAACTCCTGTTCAGTATTAATTGATGACATTAATGTCTAAGTGCTTTTGAGAACCTCAGGGAACTGGTTTTTCCAGTTCGTAAAGATCACTATTGTAGGAGCTGAAATAGAGAGATTTAAATTACCTAGAAAGGTTTTGACGGTCAATAATAATCTGCAATTTTGAAGGTAAACGGTAAAAATCACCTTTTTCGACGTCTGATAGCCCTGATGGTTAAACTAAAGGCTGAAGCTAACCCTGTTGAGACCCTAGTCGAACTGTAATATACAACACTACAGTATGTTGCCCAGTATCCGGACGGTACCAGTATCCGGACACTTGAAACAAAAACTCAATTTTTGAGGCGCCCTTCTCAGTTCTCGGTAAACGAAGTATTTCGGATGAAAGCTGAACATTTCAGCTTTAAGATGAAAGTTTTGGCAATTTGAAAGCTTGCGAAATAGTCGCAGAAGACGCCGTTCTGTTCAGGAGAATAAACTTTTCATGGCTAATATTTACGCTGTTTACTGCGCAGTAAAGTTAGTGCTGGTCAGAAAAGGGAGGGTAGTGTGTGATATTTTCAAAGAAACTGTTTTATTTTTAAAGTGAAGATTTTTAAGGAAGTCAGGTTTTCGGGAGGTTTATTAATTCTTCTTGAAATTCGATTTGTTTGGAATAACGGAAGCCAGAAACATTCACTAAGTTTTGATGTCATGTGCCCAGTATCCGGACAGTTTTTTCTTTGCTGTACAGAATCGATGAATTAGCTGTGTACATTCTCCGGATAAGATTTATTTCATATCAGTGACTATAATTAAAGCTTAGGATATATGAAATAGTCGTAAAATGTAACTCTACTCAACTCCGTATGGAAATTTTCTTCACTCATTCAGAGGCGACTTGATTTCGTGTGCGCCGCTTGTTTCGCGTGACTGCATTTTCTATATATAACTGAAAGCGTCCGAGTTGAACCTGGAATTCTCACTCTTTCCCAAGTTGGGACTGCTAGAATGGGGTTGCAATCGTCTAAAAAATGTCACAAAGGGATTGAGAGATGTGAAAGAAGGAGGAATTAGTGCTAGAAAAGCAGGCTTATTGTGGGGACTGAGCATGAAGAAATCAACACTGCAGGTCAGACTAAATAGGAGAGTGACCTTTGACCGTCGGGTTGAGGTCCCTTCCCCAAGCTTTTCTTTAAATAAAAAATGAAGAAAGAAAGTCGTTTGCAGATTGGCTAATTGAGCTTGCAAACTGCGACTTCGGCATGTCCACGGATGCCTTCCTTAAATCAGTGAAAAAGTTCCTAGACAAAGAAGGGAGAAATTATACCATTTTTAAAACAGCCGCTCGCGTTCCCTACCATACCCCAGTCATTTGTTATGTTTTATTTCACGATGCTAGGTTATATTTTCGGAATCGATTGCCAGACTACTTTGCAAGTGCAAGAGAAGCTTATAAGTCGCTTGCCTGTCGAAAATTTATGTACAATTACGTTGTTATTGTTGTGTCCGGATACTGGGCCAGCTGTCCGGATACTGGGCAACATAGGAGCTCTGCAAAAATATTAATTTAGCGATGGAAACAAAGGCAAGAAAGTTAAACTGTCTTTCGTCATATTAAGGACTAGATAGATCTTCACTGGGCCAAATTTCAGAGCTCTTGCGATTAAAGAAGGAAAGTTATTGCAATTTTAAACTGAAGTGTCCGGATACTGGGCAACATACTGTACACTATTGTTGTAACAGTTACGATAAAGTAGTAAAAAACTTTATATAAGATAATATGCTAAAATTCACTGAAATTTGCAAATTCCGAGTAAAGCCCCTACTAAAATATACTACAAAATGGTGAAAATATTTCTTTATTCTTAAGAGCTACAAACTATACAGGAACTACAAGTATATTGCAACCGCATCTGGTCCGTAAAAGAACCACAGAATTGGACAGGGATACGTAGTTATAATAGTTTTACGTTTAACCTCTTGCAACGGAATCTCTTGTAATTATAAGTATGGACACTAATTATTACCTGGCTCGAGTTGTTTGAAGCTCGGTAAGCTCTATTCCTGGGTTTACTGTAAAACAGCGGACATGGTATGTTTTAATTTATACTACATGAAAAATTACTGCAATTTGATTGGCTTAGAGCAGTGTTATTTCAGCTTAATTTGAAATACCTACATGTGAAAATTACAAACCTTTTGCGGGTATTAGTATAAACAAATAATAGCATGATTTGTACGTGATATTTGGCATGAATACTACTCGTGATATTGCAAAATTGTCTCAAATTTCACTCGCCTAACAGCTCGTGAAATTACGGATAACAATTTCGAAATATCACTCGTGGTATTTATGCCAAATATCACTACAAATCATGCTATTACCTATACTAACACTAACGGCGCAGTAATCATGTCCTGGGGACAACTCTGTCTAAATCAACTATCAACTGTCTAAGGATTTCACAGCTGGCAGCAGCAGCAAAAAAAAAAAAACAACTGCATTAAAAATAATAGTAATAAAAAATGAAAACTAGTTGTACACCTGAAGGTGCTGAGAGCAATCTGTAACTTTAAAATAGAACAGGAAAGCCACCAAAACAAACGAAAGAGTTCAGTGGCCACACCCTAGAGAGAAACTGGATTTCTACTAACTGGATCTGGATCAGTAAAAACTAAAAAACAGCAAACTGAAATCCTCATGACGAAGACCAAAAACAAAAAAAATATAAAGTAAAAAAAACACACAAACAAACAAACAAAACAAAACATAAGTTCATATCAGTTCAGTAACATCTGTAAACCTGAAGACGGCTGGCATGGCCAGCCAAAATATTGTTATAAAAAACAATATACGTAGTTTTAAATCAGCTTTGCAGTAGTCTTTGGACTTCTTGTTCTTGGTGCTTTATATTTTGGCTGGTTTGATCTCTTTTCTAGAGATCCAACTTTTACAACTAGCAGAATCTTCGTCCACGGTTTTTGCAGCTAATTTAAGCAAAACAAAACAAACAAACCTTGACGTTTTTGGTCATGTGCCCCACTGATACTTCGGTTTGTAAAACAAACCTTCGTCGACATGCCGGGCACAACTTAATAATATATACAGGAAAGCACTCGTTCTAGTTTATTTTGCCCGTTAGATTTCATAGGAAGAAATTCTGCTTTTTCAGACAGCAAGTATCGGATTCACTATTGAAATCAACAAGGAAAATGAAAACTTTGCAATCGTCTTCTTTTCAATACAACTTCATTCAACTGGATTAAACTAAAGGAATCTGCCTTAATTTATAGTGAGACCGACGTACATAACCCGATCTATTTTCATCCCTCGTCATCACACTTAAAATTTTATTGTCAGTTGGATCTTTGAAGATGATAGTAGGATGAAATCCCTGATCATATTTCTTATTTTCCCAATCTCTCCTGGCCTCTCCTTCAGTCTTGCCAAACCACCTGAAGCACTGTTCCCCCATTGAGGCTGACATCACAACAAAATACAGCTTCAGCCCACTGGAATAACATATTCCAGTGATAGCTTTTCTTTCTTTGTATCCCTCCTGTATTTCATCATTTGTTTCTTTCCAGGTACTACGAGTAAACCACTTCTGCTGTTTTTCATGGTATTCCTTCGTGCCCTTTGTCATGATGATGTAAAATGTTGAATATAGGGCAGAACATGAAGTAATCTTAAAACCCTCATCCCATTTCTCCTTTATATCATCCGTGTTTCTTAAAATAGATTGACATGTACCATAGCCTTCCATGAAGAACACCCCGAAACCAAACTTCTCATCACAGGCAAGGGAGTATATCCTCTTTGACTTACCATTAACGCCTTTCCATTCCTTTTTGACGAACCCAAGAAACTCGTCGCAGTTTCTTTTAATTCCCCAAGTTACCGCACGTCTTGGATTGTAAAGTTTTGAACTCGCAAAAATTCCTGAGAAGTAGCCATTATGCATGCTCTGGGAAATCAAAATGTTTTGACTATTAAAAATATGACTACTGATAAAATCAGTGTAATCAACGGTACCATATCCATAGCTGATGGGGAAGTCCAGTCTATTTCCGCCACTATACATGGGCTCTGTTCTTGGCCGTAGTTTCTTTCCAGTCATGTACAGTGTTAAATCTCCTCCTTCATCTACAAGTAATTTGAAAAGTGCAGAATGTCAGTAAAATGGAACCCCGATATAACGAACTTCTCTATAACGAAGTCATGGGTATACAAAACGATTTTTCTTTACCCCAATAATACAGTCAAACCTCTCCAAACCTCGGGGACAGAGGAAATTGGCTGTTGTGGAGAGACCCCGGGCCGTTATGGGGAGGTAGGGGTGTTATATGACAAATTTTTTCTAGGGGAGTGCAACATGTTTATTGTGCCATGTTCATGCTTACTGTATCCCGTAATGGTAATCCAATCATAAACGATATATAGAGGTAAAAAATACAAGGAAAACTTGAAAATGAAAATGTTATCATGACAAAACGAACAAGTCTCGCAATATTCCCTATACGTATTGTAGACAGAATAAATAGAACACAATCAAAATACGATTGCCATTAAACATCAACGTGCCATACGGATCAAATATCACGACCATTTCTGACTTTTGCGTCAGTGGCTGAAAAAACTGGCCGTTTTCGAGAGTTCATTTTGGCAGTTAATTCGGGACGCGCTTTTGTGACCGTTGCCGATGTAGAGAGGTTTAAACAAGAATCAATGTATGGACTGTCAGCCGGGGCGAAAAAAAGAAAAAAAAAAGGCCATTGTAGAGAGGTGGCCGTTAGTGGAGGTTCGACTGTAGTAAAATATCTGGAAAAGAACCTCGATATCAAAACAACGAAAGGCCAAGGGAATGGCAAAATTTGTTAGCCATAAGGCGGTTTCGTTATATCGGGCTTTCTCTTTATAGTATATAATTCAATTACTATACTGGGATTGAAAACAAAATCGTTCGTTATACCAACTGAGGCTGTTGTTATATAGAGCTTCGTTATATCGGGGTTGCACTGCATAGCGAACAAATTTTGCCAGTCCCTTGGCTCTCTGTTACATCGAGGTTCCACTGTAAAAATAATCACAATAGACGTTTTCCATATAGCTTAATGAAAGAAGCTCTGTTTAATGCATACTTCGAGCTGGAAACGACGCCACTGGCTTGGTTTCTGAATGCTATTTACGCCTAATATAATTTAATAGTTTCTTTTTTCATATTAATAAAGCATGTGAAACATACACACCTTTGGTATCAAGAGCCGTTGAATACTCCGGACATGCTGCAAGGCAGTGGAAATCAAAAATACCTTTCTGCAGACAGAAATTTGCCCAGTGGCCACTGTAACAGGCATCACTGAAGATCATCGGGTGAAAACACTCCACAGGCACCATGTCCAAAATCTCTTGGATACTGATTGTCCCATCGGCAAAACACCAGTTTCCAGTACCAATCTCACCATGCCCAGTATAGTATAACATAGGCTTGACCTTTGTTTGCTTGCATTTTTTAAAGACCATGGTGACATGTCGGAGAGCTGCGCCCTTAGTTAGATAAAGATCTTTAACAGTGTTGAACAGCTTTGTTCCAACTTCATCTTCCATGTTGACCAAATCTCGAGTCACACCAGCAAGAAATGCGCCATTCCTATCTCCCTGTGAATCTCGAGTTCTTCTTTTAGAAATTCCAATTTCTTTAGGTGGGTCAGTAGCTCCTGAGAGTAGTAACCAGAGTGGTTCCTCACTGGTTGGTTTCCACTCTGACCAACAATCGATTCGGCCAACATATGGCCCCTGAGCAATTGCTGAGCCAGCAAATTTAGACATGGTGCTGCTAAGAAAATACAATGTTTTAGAACCTTGTGCTGTTTTTGCTGATAATCTGATCACTAATGATACATTCTACTTATTCGCCATGCAGATAGTTTTGCTCTGAAAAATATTAAACACTAAAATTGTGACTGAGAGCAGTGGAAGCAAGTCGAAATAACCCTTGATACCGGACCAAGGAGATGTAAGCGCGCGAAACGAGTATAACTGTAAGTAGAGGCGTGTCCGTTTCACTACTTGAATGGGGACCTTACGATCCGACAACGGCGACGTCTATGAAAACGTCGCTGGAAAATAGACTTGGCATCCTTTCAAACCATTTCGCGATTATCTCAATACGCCCGGATACTTAAAAGAAGCGAATTTTAGTTGGAACTGAAGAGAGGGCACCGCGTCCGAGTGCAGACAGAGATGCTAGAATTTATCTCCCGCTTGCCGTTCCCGTTCTTAAGTAAACTTAAAATTTGGTCATTTCACGTCGTAGTCGTGCAGGGATGGCAAAGAAATGTGCAAAAAAGCGTGATGCACGTGCAGAGTTCTTGTTTTGCTCATTAAACCTATTGCTTTTTCGACGTTCCCGTTGCCGTCGCTGTCGTAGTGTCGTAAGGTCCCTAATGGGAGACCGACGCGGAATCCCACCCTTCACCATTGCTTACAATTTTTTTGACACCCAGGGTATAAAAACGACTGGTGCTAAACCAAATTTATAAAATAAAAAGGAGAATAATATTCAAACCTCTTTACGCCGTTAACCTTCATGTGGTTTTATTAAAATTAACCGATTTTTAATACAGTATGAACGCTGACTACTATTTCCCATTTTTCAATCTCCCATTCCCATTCCTTACTCATACCCCTTACTCCCACTCTTTTATTAACCATAAGCATAACAAATGAAACTAACACGTTCAAACACAAAATCACTATTAAATGGACGGGCGTTCGTAAAACCAGGAACAAGGAATATTCCGGAACATCCCGGAACATGAAAAAATAATTTTCATAAAAAAAAAAAA